ACACACCGACTGCCGCACCTTCTCCCAAAGCCTTCTTCTCCAGACTCAGGCACATGCTAGCTTTCCCCAATGCAGGCCACACAAATTGCAGCAATTAGCAAGTGTAAAGGGCATGCCGTGGTTTTCACATGTATACTCATTCATATCCTTGGGCATAGTCATCACATAGTATCCAGCAGGCTACTTTATCCAGACCTTCCCCTCAATGCTGCTGCTCCTGAGCCCCACTGGAGAGACCCAGTTCATTAGCCTTCATGCATCCAAACACCATTAGTTAAGAAGTCTTCAGACTGAAGACAGCATGGCTTCTCCCTCACCCTTGCTGTCCCCATGCTGCGTCACTTGATCTCTAGCTCTGGCCTTGCTCCCAACCTCCAGCGGTGACCCTCATCATTTCCTGCCCCACTGCCACCTCCCCTCTGCTGTGCAAGGCCTGGCAGAGCCTGGTCTTCCCCACGTGATTTGCAACAGCAGCTCCAAGCCCCATTGGCAGACCATTGCCCTCCCTGCGCAGGAACCGTACAGACTGAAAATTCGAGCCAGCTTTAACAGTCCTCCAGGCTTGTGACAGTCCTCCAGGCCTATTTCTACTGTTCTCCGCTTCTCCAAGTTCTTTCCCTCTCTGCCTCCCAATTTCATGACTGTGCTGGTGAGGCAAATTCTGTCAGGAGCAGGAACTTGGAGCATTTCAGGGTTCTTTTTAAATGGTATTTTTTGTTACTTGCAAAACACCATACCTACATGCAAGTGATGCTGAACAAAGGTTGGCCAAAACTAGACAGTAAAGTTCCCAACTGCCTTTAAAAACAACAACTGCAACAACAACAAAGAAACCGTACTTGACTTTGCAGCCCTCGCCTACAGAGAAGTTTGGGAAATGAGGTGGCCTCTATTTCTACAGCCCCCGATTGCAGAACTGAAGGTGTTTTGGTACAAAAGCCACATCTAGCCCATAAGCAAAGGAGTAGCCAGCACAGTTGCTGAGACACCTACAGCTGTTGTAGAAATTAGGAAGGAGGGAGGCAGCTACTGGAGTGGGATCTGGGCCACCTGGAGCTCTGCAGATTGAAGTCACGTTACTCCTTACCAAGAGGCAACTGGCACAGCCAGCCATACACGCTGGCTGTAATTTCCAAAGACAGCTAGACGTGTTGATGGATAGACATGGTGGATAGCACTAGAGTCACCTGACTTGAAGCCAAAAAATAAGTGACAGCTAATGCCCGCAGCCCAGAGGCATGGACTCAGTCTTCTTAGAAGAGGCCCACAGCAAACTTCCATGACTGTAACAAAAAGTATGCGAGGAGCGGCAAGAGCCACCATAGGTGTCCCCCTGCCCCACAGTAAGAGCTGTAAGTGCAACCTGTAAAGTGCACCAAGGCACTCTCTGCCATGCCACCTTACATGGGACGACAGGTATCTTACCCTTGTGGGTGCTTCTCTCTGCCCTGGCACACCAGGCACGTCAGGAGCAACTGTGCCAGTGCACAGGCCAGCCCTATACTCCTGGCCACTCTGAGAGTCCCGTGCACTAAATCAATGAGCCAGAGCACGGAGGAGCCCTCAAGTCAGAGGAACATGTGTCTCAAAACAGTCATGCCAGGAAAGGCTATTTACCTTTCTGAGCCTCGGTGAACTTACCAACCGCGGCGAACTGCTAGGGGACACAGATACTAAACCTATGAGAAACAGCATGGACAACTCACCCATGGTAAATCCAAGGAAGGAGAAGTCCCTCCAGACTCGCTGCTGCCATATACCCAAGCCGCAATGAATGCTAATGGTATCAGATCGGGCAAATCCCTGCATTGCTGGAGGCTCTTGCGTGCTCTCTCTCTCCCCCCCTAAACAATTACAGAAAGTAAACTTCTGATGCTGCCTTCTCTAGCCCCTGCGTGACCTAGCTCAAGGTTAGTTCCAAAAAGCAAAACACTGATAGGAATGATAGGAATGATAATGATAGGAACATTTATCATTAATAAACTCACAGGAGAGAAATGTTGCTGGCTTCCCAGAACCAGTGCGCTAGAAGGACAAGGAAAATACACAAGTACCATGAGCGAAGACCTACTTTTAGCACAGCTTCCCAGTTTGTCATACCGATAGCACCACGCAACTAATACAGCTATTTTCTTCATCAATTATTAACTGGGCAAAGACTATTTGTTTGAAGAGCTGCACAGAAAGTCCAGAGAGGAAGCAAGCAGTTTCAAGCTCCACATGCATGCCCTGCGATAGGCGTGGGATCCTCTCCAGATCAGATATGCCTCGCTCTTCAGGGGCCGATGGCTCGCCTTCCAGCAGCGGGGGAAGGACGCAGGCCTGGGTGCTTGCTGCAGCTGGGCACGGGTCTTCCAGGCAGGAGCCCGTCTCTCATGTGGGCCCCGTCGTCTTTGTGCCCAGGGGCAAGGCTGCGGTCAGCAGAAGGTATCTGAAGGCCGTTGAGCAGTACCGGGGCTGTGCCCGAGGCTCTTCTCTCAGGGATCGGCACGCAGACCACACCGCGTGCTAGTTACGTCAGCATCTGATGAGCAAACTCCCCGTACAGCTTTTGCACTGTTCATGGGAACCAGCTTCCACCAGCCACGCTCCTCTTCCACCATCTTTCCTCCACCTAGCTCACCTTTATTGCCAGACCACACAAGAAAGCGTGTTGCACAAAGCCAACAGCAGGGAAGGTACGTCAGCATAAGCCTTGAGGTATCCTGCAGCTTTTGTTTGGCAGGAACTTTTCCAACATGAATTAGGAAATGTCTCTCCTGAACATTGAGGCATGTCAAGACAGCTGAAGGATCGGTGGTTCGGCAGCAATATTCCACCCCCGATTTGGAAGAGAGATGGAACAGTTTCAGATGAAGAGCGCCAAGCTTGCTCCAGAGGAGAGCTCAAAGGTGAAAACACAAGACTGACACCATGAGCAGGGCCAGCAAAGAAGTGTCCCTAAACAAAAACCACTGGCTTCAGAAGTTTCTGGGATTGCTGACTGATACCTCAAGGGGTACGAGGGCTGGAACGAGGGTATGAGGGTGATCTGTATGTACACCGAGGCTTTGCTGGAGGTCCATGTTCCTCTCCCATGCAAAACACCAACCAACCACTCCACCAAAGTGGACCAGTACCACTGACAAGCCAGGCCTGAGATTTAGAAATCTGTACCACTTCAACATCCCACTTTAGCCTCACTCAAAACACGCACAGGCTCTCCTCGAGGGGGAAGGAGCTGTGCAGGAACACAGGGCACACAAGGAACAAAAGCCCATCCAAGGTCTAACCTACACTGACCAGAAAGAAGTTTGCAGGAGCAGACCGAGCGACTCAAGATGGAAGACTCCGTAAGAAACAGAGAGGGTTAGAGGCCACAGGGGTTACATCACATGAGGTATTTGCTGCCATTGATCTGCGCATCCCCGCGCTTGCAGAGCTGACCCACTGAATCGGTGAGGAATGATGGAGGGGTAGCAATGGCGGGACACCTGAGCACACGGTGGGCACCTCAGGGGTCAAGAGGGGGGGAGATATCTGCATTTGAGTGGCTGTCTAAAACCAGCCCCTCAATTTTTGCAAGTAAGACCAGCTCCACTGTCAGTTTCTTGAAAAACTTGGGGTTTATTGATTTAAACTGCAAACAGTCGTTACAAAAGAGATTCTCTTTTAAATAAACTCACACAAAGAGGAAGAAAAAGCAATGTAGTGAACAGTAACGGGGAAAACATTACATTCATTATTCTCTTTGTGCCAGTCCCATTCACCTCGGCAAGGAAAACTCCAAACTTGGAATACAGAAACGCAAAGACAAACTGTATTTGGAATGTCTTCAGATAGGCACTTGGAGCCTAAGGCTTTTCTCCTTGAAAAAAATCTATACAAAAAAAAAAGGAAGAAAAAGGTCTTCCTTCCACGCTGTCTCGCAACAGAGCTCAGGTATGTACATTCTAAAGCCCAGGTAGGCAAGACCCAGGGAGGGGAAGAGGAGGAGAAGAAGAAAGGCAAAGAAGCACATTAACTCAATTTGCAGTCCAACACAAAAAAAATGGGGGTGGGAGGATTCTAAAATAAATAATCCAAACACAGTTTTTGCATTTTTTTTAAATTAATTTTTCATTTTTTAAAATAAAATAACCAAAAAAGTGTAAAGTTACAAAAAATGTCATTGTAGTATAATATATTAAACTGTGGGGAAAATAAGGAAAAAAGACACTTCACAATCTTAAGATTAATATGGAAGATCATAATTTAAACATAAAAGAATATATTCTATGGATTCATCATCCCGATAAATATGAACAAAATTAACAAAAAAGCATAGGTTTCGGCAATAAATACGTTTTGATAAGTTAAATAAGCTTTTTTATATTGTTGTGCAGTGACAAGCAAAATTTGCTCTCCAATTTCTGAAAAGTTATACAAAATTAAAAACCCAGAAAAAAATAATAAAAAGCTTGGCGTGAGTGCTCTAAGATAGGTCTAAAGTACTCTAGAGCAAAACCATTAAAGCTATGTCTACTGGAACTTTGTTTACACGAACTTGTGTGTGTGGAATGACTTCCATCGGCCCCACCCCCTCTATTTCTTTATTTAAGATGTCACATGAATACACGGGGAACTTTTAGCACCAAAATCAAGTCTCTCATAGTCCATCTGGTTCTCGGTTTGTTTTGTTTTGTTTTCTTCCTCCCAGTCGAAGTCCCACTCATGTTACAATCTTTGTCCGTCCTCAGCTTTTCTTCCCGCAGACCTGAGTGGATCCAGGCAAGATTAGTCTTTAAGGGGAGGGGAGAAAGAGGACTGGATGTTAACACTTGCCCACATGCCTGCAGCCTAGCGGAAACTGGCCAGTCAGGAAGGGACTGGGAGAGGGCGATGCAGTACATGGCCAGTGGAGGGAGCTGGATCCGGACATTTCCTGCACATCTGGAAGTGCAGAGCTGCTGGTGCCCTCTGCAGCTGGAGAGGTAATACAGTCACAGTGAAAGTGTTAAAGGCACTAATTTTGTAAACGTTATTGCTTTTCATCGTAATTTGGCACTTAAGGTTTAAGCCAGTGGGTCTACGGCAGGCAGGTGGACATGTTAACATCCAGCTCAGACTACTTGGGGACAGGGTAGGGGGAGTTCAGCTTAACATCATCATAGAGGTGGGGGGGAGCAAGAGGAAACCCCAGATTAGTCGTCGGAGATGGAGAGTCTGCTGAAGATGGGAAGACGTCTTGAGGTGTCCAGGATAGGGGAATCTGAGCCGCTGTGGCTGCTGCTGGAGCTGCTCAGATAGCCCTCCTGGTCAGAGAGGGAGTCCTGAGGACTGGGTGGCGAGTCAAACATGTTGGGGGACTCGGACATGGGCCTGAACAAGAAGGTGGTGGGGGAGCTCCCGCTGGGCACCTGCACCCCCATGCTGGGGGCGAAGAGACTGACCAGCTCCTGGCTGGAGAAGGTGAAGGGGTTGCTGGCGCAGTCAGGCAAGGTGGGGGAGCCCAGCAGGTCGTCGGCGCTCAGCATGGGCGGCGGGGTGATGGAAGTGGGGCTGTCCAGCAGCCCGCTGGCAGCAGTGCTGGGGAAGCCGGCGAAGCTGAAGCTGTGCTGCAGGCGGGGTCTGTCGGTGA